TGACCATATCATTAGAAGCAACCAGGGGCATCCAATGAGCATCCAGTTACGTTATTTTCCTTCTCTTCTCTGGGCTGGCTTCTCCTTCTTCTCTCTCAACCCTCCCCCGCCCACCATCTACCTCTTGACAGATGATGCCACCTGGCCTGCCTGTGTTTCGATCCATGGATTCTTCCCTGTTGGGGTACCCTATGGCTAAAAGAGTTTCTCTCCACTTGGTGGGCAGAATGACTTTCTGAGTGCGTCTGAGCCAAAAATGGCTTTCCCAACAGGCAGGAAGAGTTTCAGCATGCTGTTGCTCCCGGGCCTCTGGGAGCAGCACCCCAGCAGGTGTCTGTTTAAAGGGTTCTTGTTCAATAGTGAGTGAACCACGTGACCTCAACACTAAGTAGCAAGTTTGCGCATAAACTGCCTTCAATTCAGTAGGGCAAATTACTTCCCTGAAAAAGTTTCGGGGGGAATTTAATACTGGTTCCAGTACCCTGATTAAGACGTGTCTTAAGGTTGTTTTATTTACAGTCTAAACTTTTGTCTTTTTTTATTGTAGATCCTGCCACTATAGGCTACCAACCCCCTCGGTCGCTATAGGTTTGTTTAGACTGAAGTCACCTGGGCTTCAGACAGGAGGCAGGTCAAGGTTTAGTACGTAATATTTTGCCCAGTTTTCACTGAAGTTTTACTGAAGTAAAGGGATGCTGCTACTAAGGTTCAAGGTGCTTCCAAGCCATTTGCATTTGTCCATTCATCTGTTCGAGAGCAGTACACACATACAGTCTCCTAACCTACCTCAGCTCTCCCTTTCTACATGAAAGCTTCCTGTGCCTTCAACTACTCAGGCCTGGAGGCTTAAAGAAAATCCTTCCCAGATTATTGTTAATGCCGGGCCTGATTCTGTAGCAGCTGTCGCTTTTGAACAATGGGATGCTTCTCCTCCTTGACAAGAAGCTGAAAATGCCCATTTTGCTACACTTCCAACCTTTGTGAACTCAAAGAGCATAAAAGGGACTTAGGGATGGACGCAAGACTCCTGTTCAGGAATTCTGTGCACAACTTAAAGACTATTGAGTTTAGCCACTTCCTGACATTGACTTTCATAGCAACAGTTTAATTTGGAGAAAATCTGCCACCTCAAATAGCTAAAGGTATTTATGTGGAAAATTTTCCAAATGATTGACTTTACTGTGTTGCTATTTTCTTTCCCCATGAATATGTATTTGGCTTCCTCCCAGGAGTTTTTCTGCATCACTTCTCTTTAGGCAAAGAAAAGTTTCTATCCAGACTGGGAGAAGAAAGCAGCACCAAGAGTTTCCCCTTTTCAAGGGAATTATTATTTGAGTTTAAACCATAGCATCTGTATAAATGAATTTCGGTGTGTTGCCTGTTTGCTTAAGTTTTCCATGGCAAATCCTCAAGGTGGCCAGAGTAATCTTGATCATCACTTCGGAGGCAACACAGGTGTGATGGGCTGCGAGCTCCCGGCAGCTTCCCCCCCTCTCCTCCCCACGACAGCACCAGTCTTGCTGAAGGGGTTGTCTCTAGTCCCTCACCCACCTCCACCTCGTGGGCTCCACTAATTCTTCAGCCACCTCTCTTCTGACATCTCTTGCCAAGATCACCAATGACTCCCTCCTATTTCGTCCAGCGACCATCGGTGTTACATCAGAACTTGCTGTATCATTTGAGAGTGTTCATGTCATTTTCCTTCACTGCTTTGGCACCATTTCTCCCGTTCTTCTAGACAGTTTTCTCCTCTGTCCCTTTCCTAAATATTTCCTTGGCTATCTCTCCTAGACCTACTTTTCTTATTGCCCCACACTCTCTTCCTGATTGATACCATCTGCTCCATGGCTTGGATTCCATGCTGTTGATTAAGATCCCCCATCTCCGTCTTCAGCCCAGATCTGTGAAGGCTGGTCTATGTTCCAAATGAACCTATTTTCCTTCTTTTCCCTGTTTTTCTAAGTACCCAGATGTACTGAGGGACACCGTTGCTCATTGTGCAAGAAAGAAAGGTTAACTCCTTTCTCTATCTCTTCTGCTTTCCCATGAAATAAATTAAACATTCCAATTTATTCTATTTCCTACATAAATTTTAAGTCTGTGTCTTCTTCAGTATCTCCTCAATATCTACCTCCTACCATTCCCTAGGTTAGGAAAACATCAGCTTGCCTGTGGATACCGCTCTCTGGTCTTGGCTCTTTACAATCCATGTCCATATTACAGGAGAGGTCTTTCTGATCACCCCATTTCCCTAATCAAGGTTCCTCTTGGGTCTCCCTTGAATGCCCCCACTCTGCCAAGGTGCCTCTCCCAACTCCTATGACACATGGCCTCTCCAGAACTACCCCGCCCCCGCCCCTTATCAAAATTGCCTGGGTCTTTGTATCCTCACTAGTTTGTCAGTTCTGTGAGGACAGAGCATGCCTCCCATGTTGAAATTGTATCTCCAGTACCTGGCACAGTGGCTGATGCAGAACAGGTGCTCAGTAAACATTTGTTGAATGAGCAAGTGAGCCTCAGAGTAAACTGTGAGCCAGGCCTTTTCAGACACAGGTCCAAATGCCTGATTCTCGTTTGCAACTTCTTCCTCACTAGTCAAGCTCCCCTCACTGGAACAACTATTACTTTTTCACAGCAGACAAAACTCTGATGCAGACAAAGCAACCTATATATCCCAGAGGAAGAGAAACTTTTCAAAGGTTCTGAGGATTAGCATATGGTAATTATCAAATCCCAGGGTATCTTTTAATTGAACCTTCACAGTAGTTCCCTTAGCTTGTACTCAGTACATAAATTGAGTAGCACCTCATTAGGGAGGTTGTATCATGCCTTTAGTGAAAATGGGGAGAATGAGCAAGAGCTTCTCATGACGTGGAAGCCTTGGAGAAAGGGAGCAATGTGGTTTGTAGCTCCTTTAATCTGTGTATCTGACCACTGACTCCTGATATGGGAGATGAGGAGGACAGCCATGGCCGTCAGAGGAGTTTAGGATCTGCCTTCTAAATCCCACTGTAGGTTTTGTACTCTGAGAGTGTCTACTGCATGCTTCCCTCCTCTCCTCTCCTGTGCTGCTGCTGCTTTAATGTCAGCCTCAGGAGCAGCCTGATTTTAAAGATTTTTTCCTCCCCAGGAGCAAATCTTCCTGAAGGAACCAAGGGACTGCCAGACTCAGCCTGCCAGTACTTCTCTGGGCTTCTCTTTCATTCATTCACCCGGCTCAAATGACGCAGCTTCAGATGCCTTACTCTGTTCTAGCCACCTTGAACTCTTCCATTCAAAGGACTGTGACCAGTAAGGCAAGCAAGGTGCCCAGGGTGCAAAACTTAAAAGTTACCCAGTCTCAGATGCCAACCCAATGTTTGCGTGGGCCTGAGTGTGAGCGCCCTTCTTGACTCACCCTTGCCAGGGTGGTCTGCCAGGAAGGCCAGCCTGCCCTCCACTACCATGTCTCTCCAAATGCTAATCCTTGAGACCCAGCTCAGATGCTGCCTCCTCCCTGAAGCTCTTGCTGAAGCCTCCCAGTCCTTCCCACAACCTTGCAAATCTCAGCGGACCTTTTTTATACCTCTCTGAAGGCACTACGTACCTTGACTACTTCTTAGGCCTGTCTTTTTGTCTCTATATTAAATTACGAGTGTCTAAGAGCTGTCTTTTTCTCGATGTGCTTATAATATCTAGCACAGAGGAAGCATGCAGCAGGTATTCGTGTCAGTGAGGGGAGTGGAAAAATCAAGGGGAGAAGAGAGAAGAGGCTAATAGCAGGGGGGTGGGAGGGTCAGGGTCAGCGGGAGGTCTGGGGCCAGTCTGCCTGGGTTGGATCTCTGGATCTGCCACTTGCTGGGTGTGAGAACATGGGCAAGTTACATCACCAGTCTATACCTCCATTTCTTTGTCTTTAAAACGGGATCAACACTGGTACCCCAACATCAAGTTGTGGTGAAGTCTGAGCTAAAACACACAAAGCACTTAGCAACAGAGTTGATGTGTAGTGAACAGCTACCTCAGTAAACCTCAAGATCCAGAATTAAATAGGTCTAGTGAGGGTTCATCTGTGGAAAATGCAGGTATACGCACAAAAGGCAAAGCACATTTGTGACTGATGTCTTAAAGTTAAATCTAAACCATCAATAATGGAAGACAGAGGCAATGACCTCATGCTCCCTTGAGAACCCAAGTGTCTACATTTTTAGAAAAGACAAATCTCATTCCTAAAATTCAATAGAAGAGTGGCTTGAGCAAGAAGATGGGAAGGAGGCTGTCTAAAAAAGGCAGCAAAAGAGGGTCAAATGAGCTTGGAGGTATTGAAATGTTCTCTGGGTTAGTATCTGCTGATTTTAAGGAGAATAGAAACAATGCTAAGGGAAAAATTATGTTTTTGCTGCCATCTACAGTCAAAGTGCAATTTTTAAACTTAACACACACACACACACACACACACACACACACACACACACACATCCAAAAGGGCATTCTTGACAGAATGAGTGACAATATAGACAAAGTCTGGCTTAAGTTCCAGTAATTTGGCATATTATTACAGCATTTTATTTACTATTCTTTCTAAAAGTATGATGTTTAACTAGCACATAGCCTTTTTAACATCTCAAACTGTGGTAGAACTGCTCTTCAGAAAGCTGCTGGAATAAGCACTCAGGAGTGAGACTGTCATCTGCTGGGTTAGATTAGCTGCAGCTGTGATAGGCGACGGACAGTTTGAGAGTCAATACAATGATTTCAGCGATGAAAGAGATGGATTGGATTTTACCCTACGTTTTCCTAGCTCCTGATCTGCAGTTCTCTGGTTCTTAGAATTGCTGTAGCCTGCATTTTATACCAGTGTATTTGATTGTGTGGCTGTGAGAAATCAACCAGAAGCAAGTAAGAACAAATTCTGGCCATGATGTCACCTCGGACATGCCTCCTGCCCCTATGCTCCTGTCCATATAATTTCCACAATTATTATGATATTTTCCTCACGTCTTTCTGCCTTATTTTTAAAGGGTTAAATATAGACAAGAATTACTGGAAAAGCGTTTGATGGAGAAAAAAGAAGTGGCCCTTCGAGATGCTCATGAAGAAGAGGAGAGAGAGAGGCGTCTAGAAGCCCTTAGGAAACAGGTGTTTTTAATTTGGAAATTTTCATGGGTGGTTTCTGAGTGTCCTTCATAACATTATTAGTAGGCTTAGATCACAAACTCTGTGATATAAAATGTAACTTTTCCAAATTGGGACACTGGTCTTCACTCCTGGGAGCAATTAGGTTTATGTTGAACGATTTCCAGTTTCTTAGTGTATTAAAATAACTTTATCAGCATCTTTCAAAAAGCTCTCCCAAGATTTAAATGCATCCATATTACCTCTAGTTTAATAGCTGAAGAGTATCCATTTACAGAAGTGAAATTCTACATCTACCAGAAGGATTTTATGCTCTCAAAAAACCTGGGGGAGCTAGAGCAAGGTAATCCTCTTTGGGGTAGGAACCTCTGTTTAGAAATACCCTTTAGTTAGCAAACATGCAAAAAACCACTTTTTAAAAACTTCTGTGAGCTAATTAAAGCCTCCCATTGCTTTGCCTAGTGAAAATAGGCAAAAGTTTTTAAAGTAGAGAGGAGATCGCAAAAGCAGGAGTTTAAGAATTTGAGAAATGTGATAAAATAGTTTTACTTGGTAATTTTTCAGAGGTTTTGATCTGAAAATAATTAGCTCAAATCATAAGCTCCAAAGTCCATTGACACCATTTCCTGGCTGAGAGGAAATGACTATCTCATTTCCCTTCCATGTCGGTGGAGGAAACATGGAATCTTGAATAAGAACTTGGCCTCCAGTGTCCTTCAAACCTGGTACAACCTGGCTTGGTCCTTACTGGCAGAGGAAACTTGGATTTTTTACCTAACTTCCCTAAACTTCCTTTCCTCCTCTGAAAGATGGGACTAAATAGTACCTGCCCATAGGTTTGCAGTAATGTGTGTTCATATTTTCTTTTAAAGATTTTATTTATTTATTTGACACACAGAGAGAGATCACAAGCAGGCAGAGAGGCAGGCAGAGAGAGAGAGGGAAGCAGGCTCCCTGCTGAGCAGAGAGCCCGATGCGGGACTCGATCCTAGGACCCTGAGATCATGACCTGAGCTGAAGGCAGAGGCTTAACCCACTGAGCCACCCAGGTGCCCAATGTGTGTTCATATTTTAAAATTAATACTAAGTATAAAGCCCTCTTCTAAATGTTCTTAGGTTTTATCTCAATCTCTACAGCAACCCCATGATGTATGTGTTATTTCTATTTTATAGCAATATTCCTGTTTTATAGAAGAGGAAACTGAGGAGGCATAGGTTCCCCAAAGTCACACAGCTAGTAACTGTCAGACTGGATTCAAACTGAGGAGGTCTAGTTAAATGGCATAGTTTAGGGGAAGTGTTAATGCATACAACTATTATATCATCTTCCTTGATAAAATAGTTGACAGAAATAAATTCAAAGCATAGGAACCTAAGACCTGTCATCCTAGATTCAACAAACGTTAAATTACTCTATCATTAGCAAATAATTACATTCCTGGGGACAAAACTTTAATGTCACTATTTCTAAACACATTCTTGTTCACAATATAACTTTGATAACTACGGAGTCCATATAATTAGAATTCTTCCCATCTGTGAACTCTTTGAAAGAGGAAATATCCGTGCCCATTACCTGTAATCAGTGTTTAGAACTATAGTATAAGACATTTTGGCTAGGAAACCTATAATAATTAAAGTACGTTCAACTCAGTTATGTCATTACGGTTTCTAAATGGCATTAAAAATGCCATTTTCTTAATGCTAATTCTTGACTTTAGGAATTAACAGGCAGGTGTTACTAATGGTGCATATAATTTACAAAATTAGTGGCTTCTTTTCATTAGGATACAGGTTTGAATGATTTCAATTATCATAAAGGACAAGGGCATTTATGTTAAAATGACTATACAGTTTTTCAGTAGGAGGGAAAACAATGGTTTACAACAATCTTTGGAACTCTAGTTACTTACACAATGGCATTCACCCATCTTGCCCAATGATGCCAACACAACTCAACTTAACCCATTAATAATATATTCTAGATTGAGCTTGATCGGATTAAACTTCCTAGATAGCTCCATGGGGTTGTTACCATGGCCATATGCTGCTAGTGGTTAAAAGTCAATGTTTTTTACTTTTGGTTACTTTTAGGGTAGTTCAGTATGTAGGTTTTCTAGGCTTGATTTCCTCTTAGTACCAGAAATATAAATTTTTATCTAAATTTAATCGTAACTGTAATTATTCAATCAGCAGCAAACAATATATTTCATGGCCTTTTAACATATTTTTTTTTTTTTATTTGTCAGAGAGAGAGGGAGAGAGAGCTAGCACAGGCAGACAGAATGGCAGGCAGAGGCAGAGGGAGAAGCAGGCTCCCCGCCAAGCAAGGAGCCCGATGTGGGAATCGATCCCAGGACGCTGGGATCATGACCTGAGCCGAAGGCAGCTGCTTAACCAACTGAGCCACCCAGGCGTCCCCATATTTTGTTTTTAAACCATTAACTCCTTCATGGATTTCTAGGACTGGCCTGGTTTAATATTCTGTCTGCCCTTCCTTAGGTTTTATCTTCCTTAAAGTTAGGAAATTTTATTAGACATTAAACATTAATAGTAGTGTTCCCCAGAAGTAGTTAGCTTATATCTTAATCCAAGTAGCTGTGCCTTTTCTTCTTTTAGGTTGCTATTGTCGCTCAGTTTGATCCCGTTAGAATGATGTCAGATACAACGGCATCGAAAGCAAGGATGGGTATTGGAATTGAAGAAGAATTTATTCTTCAAAAGCCACTCTTTACATTGAATACATACAATGAATACCAGGTAATTATGGGAATTAGCATGATTGATGCAAAAGCCATGACGGTAAGATTTATGGAAGTGTGTGTTTTGGGTTTCAGATTATTTTCAATATTTACATTTGAATGCCACATGGATTAACGTAATTTTTACTGCTAAATGATAACACACAATCACTGCCCAATTCGTAATGTTATAAAATAGTTGATAGGTGACCGTGGAATAGTTTATCTGAACATATGAATCTGTCACTGAAAATTATTTTTTATTTTTTATTTTTAAAAATATTTTATTTATTTATTTGTCAGAGAGATAGAGAGAGTACAGGAAGGCAGAGTAGCAGGCAGAGGCAGAGGGAGAAGCAGTCTCCCCACGGAGCAAGGAGCCCGATGTGGGACTCGATCCCAGGACCCTGGGACACGACCTGAGCTGAAGGCAGCCGCTTAATCGACTTGAGCCACCCAGGCATCCCGAAAATTATTTTTTAAATTTACATTTTTATGTTAAAAATTATTTTTAAAACTTGTAAACTTTAAAGTTGTGTTAATATTGTATTTTGTTTAAATGTTTCTCTATCATTTGGAATTTGTTTAAAATCATAATATAAGTCCTATTAAAGTAACAGCTGATGATACTGATAGGATAAAGCAGAGGGGAGCTTTCAGAAATGAAAATGAAGATAATACATCAGAGCTAGTGATAAAAGAAATCATTTTCTGTGGAAAAATATTAAGGTGTATTTAACCATTTCCAGGAACTTCTGACTCCTTTTAGTCTGTTACCAAGAAAGAATCTTAAAAAGTCTTTTGGGGGGCACCTGGGTGGCTCAGTGGGTTAAAGCCTCTGCCTTCAGCTCAGGTCATGATCCCGGGGTCCTGGGATCGAGCCCTGCATCCGGCTCTCTGCTGAGCGGGGAGCCTGCTTCCTCCTCTCTCTCTGCCTGCCTCTCTGCTTCCATGTGGTCTCTGTCTGTCAAATAAATAAATAAATAAATATTTTTTAAAAAAAGTCTTCTTGGATGGATGGATGGAAAGCAGGAGGGAAGACAGATGAATGAATGGATATCACTGAAATTAAGGGAGAAAGTAGTTCCCCCTAGTTTATTAATTTTACAAATCTAAAGAGCGCAGCTCAATATTTAATTATTTAAAAAGTAAGAAACTGCATCCATTCACCCACTGGCAAATAAATTGAGTGTGCCTCTTTGTGAACAATTCATTTATTAATTGGACAAATATTTATGGAACATACAGTGTCTCTGGCATTGTGGAGTTGCCAGGGCTGCATTCCAAACAGGATGGACTTGTTCTCTTGGAGGAAGCGAGCAGGGTAGCTGGGTTGGGAGGGAAAGTAGCCTGTGTGGCAGTATTGCCCCTGGGGTGAGACTACCTCCATGGTGGAGGTCTAAGGGCTGCAGGGGTAAGCAGACCATGGACATGCATGGACACGCTGACTAGGGAAGTCAAAGTGTCAAAGAAGAAACTAATCTGCATCTTAGGCGAGGATTCTTAGCAGCAGTAACAAAATTTACTCTAGGTGATTTAAACTAAAAACAAACAAACAAAAATACGTTGGGAGGAGGGGTAGGGTAAAAAGAAAGGGATTTATTATAAGGACGTAAGTGTGTCTCCAGAAGCCAAAGCAGGGAGGGCAGCCGGGGTTGGCAGAGAATTGGTCAGAAACTGGAAAACTTTCAGGTACCTGGGCTGAGGCAATTAAGGGTTTCACCAAGCAGAGGAGGGCAGAAAGGGGCCCTCACTGGCGTGTCTTCATTGTAAAGTAAGCGGCAAGGGTGGGTGCTGGGAGATGAGACTGGAAACCTAGATTACGGTCGGGATGAAAAGTATAGAAGCTCTAGCTTGCTAAGACATTATCTTGTGAGCACAGGGGAGACTCAAAAGCAGGTGAATTATATAATCAGATATGTGTTAGCAACATGTCCTGGATAGAAAATTGGTGGGTTTAGGGGTCAGACCCTTTTCAGATGGCGGAGGCCTCATCAACACGGGACGGAGGGGCATGAATGGCTTTGTCTGAGAGGAGGGAGTCATGATACCAAGCTCGGTAGCAAGTGATACTGAGGAGAGCCTGCATTTTGGATTCAAATCCACGTCCGCTATTTACTGGCTATGTGAACTTGTTTAAGCTATTAACATCTTTATGTCTTGTTTACTTCATTTGTAAAATAATAATCTGTAAGGTTCTTGTGAGGATTAGGATAATAAATGTCAATTGCCTAGGATATTGCCCGGCACCTAGAAGTAATTCAGTAAATTATAATCATTAGTTGTGGCTGCCATTAACCATATAAGAATACAGAAGTAAAAACAGACTTAGGGAGAAAGAGAATGTGTTTTGTTCCTGTCATGTCTAGGGTGAAGATGTCTAGAACATATTTACGAGAAACTGATTGGCTGCTTCTGGGGAGGTGAATTGGGGGAAATGACGGTCAGCTTTTGAGAGAGATCTCCATTTCACTTCGTCTATTTTAAAAATAGAATAATGAGACATTTTAAACCTCACAAACCAGAAGCTGAGAAGACAGGTGAATCCAGGAGATAATTAGGGAGCATACAGGTGGAGCCTGAATCCATGGATGTGGATGAGGGGGACCACGGAGACTGTATCCAGAAGAGACGCTGGGTGGAAGGATCAACTACGTTGCTTCTCAGACACAAAATCTCTGTATTTTTGACTTGCATGCACCATTGTCTCTCATTTCCGTCCCTCTTTAGTTGCCAGAATCTCTTGATTCTTCCCTTCATCGTGTTTTCGACAGTTCTTTCTTCTTGCTGCCAGCCAAGTTTAGGCACTTAGTACTTCATGGGTAGAGCACTGTAGCAGACTGCTGCTACTCCATTGTTCTACCCGAACCGCCCTGGTCCCAAATTGACCTATTTCACCTCTAAATTTGCATGTGCCTTCCTTTCCTGCTCTGTTTTCCTCCCCACTCTGCTTTGTAGAGGAATAGGGTGGACATCACAGTTAGCTCAAGTGCTGTTGCTTACTTGAGGTCATCCTAGTCTCACCTGCATGAGGAAATGCACCTCTGTGTTCTTCTACTCTTGGAACATCAGTCACATGGGCCACGCGAGTTGCAGTTATCTGTATACATTCTTATTACCCCTGTTAGCTCAAGAGCTTCTTCAAGGAGGGGCTGCTTTCAACAGCTTATTATCCCATCCTCTAGGGGAACTTCAAGTCCATGTAAAATGCCTCATTAGCTAAAATCCATATGTGGCTACCTTATCATAGCAAGCAGTGTCTGTTGACATTTAATGTTCATAGAAGAAGGGGAAGAGGAAGAAGGCCCAATCAGCTATAAATGAAAATAGAAATTGAGCTACTCATATTTCAATTCCCACTTAGAATCACATTGGTGGAAACATTTTCTAATCCTGCTTGAAATAGAAATCCAGCCTTGGAAGGAGAGTTTGATTGATTTTGTTGTTGTTGTTATTAAAGTAGGGGCCATGTGTTTAAACATAATTTACATATTGCTGAATGATGGGGAAATTGATGTTTAAAGAACAGTGTATAAGGTTGTGGTTTAGATTTATTTTAAATGATGATTGTCTTTATTTTCTAATTCTAGCTATCAATAATGAATCAGTGAATAGTACTGAAAGTAAGCTTTTTTCACCCCATTTTTAAATAATTTCAATGTGGTTTTTTTTGACTAATTTGGCATGATATTCCCTATACCTTATGTTGGAAACGAGGGATACACTGGAAAATAATCATACTAAGAAGATTTGGACATTTCCTTTTCTTCTCTTTTTCTTTCTTTTAATTTAATTTGTGTGTGTTACTTTTCTTTTTTAAAAAGATTTACTTATTTATTTTAGAGAGAGAGAGAGAGAGAGAGCACGAATGAGCCCAAGTAGGGAGAGGGGCAGAGGTAGAGGAAGAGGGAGAGAGAATCCACAAGCAGACTCCCCAACTTGGGGCTCTATCCCAAGACCCTGAGATCATGACCTGAGCCAAAATAAAGAGTTTCCCACTTAACCAACCAAACAACTCAGGTGCCCCTGGACATTTCCAGTAAAAAACAAACAAAACCCAACAGAATATAGTCACTGTATATACCAAGTTTATAGTCATCTACCCAGAAAAAAAGTTAAACAGCTTGAGGAAATGTGAAACAAAATAATAAAATGTAATTTAGTTCAATGAATTGCTACTTATTTAAATGTATTTTATTTCTACAGATAATTTCTGACCCTAGACTCCGTTTTGAGTTAGCACTTCGAGAAGCTGGACTTCATAAAACATTTTATGCCAAAGAGATATTACCAAAAATCAGTCCTCAAAAACCTCCAAGAAAGGACATGGAGTCTACTGTATTTAAAATATAGTTCATCTGCAAATCCTATTATATGTAAGCAAGATTTTTCTTTGAAAACATTTATATGGATAACAATTACTACTTTTTAAAAATTTTTAAATATCAAACATAGAAATCAAAGCATTAATTAAAACAACTTTGTCTTTTATGACTCTCAGAATTTCATGCACTATTTCCCATATCTTTGTTATGTCTAATAGTACTAAATTCAACAAGACTGTGAAACATAATTATGACACATATGATACATGTTTTATCATTTAGTAAATTGCATATTGGAGATTGCATTATCCCATGAAAAAAGCTCAAAATAACTATTTGCAAGAATTATAATTTATGTTGCTACTACCTGCTAAAGTTTATTTCTGCTTGTTATTTCAGAATTTGGCTTTTTAATTATGGAAACTCCATTATCATTAATACTTCTATTATTTCTTGATTATTATAAGAGGAGACTCAACCTTTCTCTAAATTTAGAAACCAATTTGGTATACCATGTTTACTGCAAACCAATTATCCGAACAATTTCATTTTGCAAATTAGTCTGTAAAAATAAGTTAGAAATTAGAAACAGCATTTCAAGCACGGGAATATCTGTTTTGGCTTGGGAAAAAAATGTATTTGTGTGGTTGTTTGGAAGGAGTATTTTAAAATTTATAATTTAAAAGCTATCAAAAATTCCAAATTATCTATGTAAGATCTAGGAAGTATTATAGATAAGGAGCATTTTTTAAAGAAGATTTATTCATTTTTAGAGAGAGAATCTCAAGCAGACTCTCCATTGAGAACAGAGCCCACTGCAAGGCTTGATCCCACAACCCTCAGATCATAACGTGAGCCTAAATCAAGAGATTATGCTGAGTGAAATAAGTCAAGCAAAGAGAGTCAATTATCATATGGTTTCACTTACTTGTGGAGCATAAGGAATAACACAGAAGACATTGGGAGATGGAGAGGAGAAATGAGTTGGAGGAAATCGGAGGAGGAGACAAACCATGGGAGACTGTGGACTCTGAGAAACAAACTGAGGGTTTTGGAGGTGGGAGTTGGGTGAGCCTGGTGGTGGGTATTAAGGAGGGCACGTATTGCATGGAGCACTGGGTATGGTGCATAAACAATGAATTTTGGAACACTGAAATAAAATAAAATAAAATTTAAAAAAGAATAATGTAAAATATCATTAATAACTGTAAATGCTTCCACGTCAGAATTAAAATATTTTGGATACACTGGGTTAAATGAAAGTATGAAAATTCAAAAAAAAAGAAAAAAAAAAGAGTCGGCCAATCAACTGACTGAGCTACCCAGGTGCCCCAGGTAGGAAACATTTCAAATAAAACTCAAGCATGGGGTGCCTGGGTGGCTCAGTTGGTTAAGCGTCTGCCTTCAGCCTAGGTCATGATCTCGAGGTCCTTGAATTGAGCCCCAAGTTGGGCTCTCTGCTCAGTGGGGAGTATGTTTCTCCCTCTCCCTCTGTTCCTCCTAACCCCTCCCCACCTGTGTGTTCTTTCTTTCTCTTTCAAATAAATAAAATCTTAAAAAAAAAAAAAAAAAAACCTTAAGCATATATTTCTTACTATTTAAAAAAATTGATTATTTAATCAGAATAGCAAGTTTGTGTTTTTGGAAGTTGCCATTATTACTGTTAGGAAGACTTCCTCCCCCCCCTTCAAGCTCTTTTCCTCTCCATTGCAACTCCCTGCCATTTCCTAGGCACCTCTAGCTCAGGGGTTGCAGTTACTGGAATAACGTAAAAAAAGAGAAGGTCCAGTCTGACCGGTGGAATATTTGGCTTCATGAGTATTCCAACATGATGGGAATAAATAATGTAGCAAACCCAGCTCATTAGAATAAACCTTCACTGAAAAGTCTATTGGCAAAATCCCTTATCTCTATCCACAATTCATTGTAATGCCCTCCCAGTTCAGCCTTTTGCATCATCACATCTCTTAATAAGAAGAGGAAAAGGAATCCTTAACAAGACTCAGGGCTGTGAACATTGGCAACTCTCTTGAGAAGGTCTCCCATGGTCACAGTGTTCCTTCATGGGCCCTCAATTTACTTGACACAAAGCTTCAGACCATAAGCCATGAAAGCCCTACTTTCATGTCAGAGCACATCCTCTCTCTGTGGCAAGACATGTTGTGGTAATGTCTCTCTAGTGTTCCTTCCTAATCTGTAGGGATGTTTATTCTGCCTCTTAATCTGTTTGTTTGTTTGTTTGTTTGTTTGTTTACGTTAACACGAAGATCTGATTCTTTTTTTTGTTCATTTATATTTAAAATTTGTTTTCCTTAACTCTAGAAATAACTGTAGCTCCAGATAATCCTTCTAACTTCACAGATCTATAGTTCTCTCTTTTTTGTCCTATTTGTGTCGCTTACTTTCTGGAGCTACGTCCTCCCCTACTTTTAACTGGACCTGCTATTTCCTTGGACTTTGCCGCTCCTGTGGTGCTCAATTTGCATTCTCCTTGCAACATTTCCTGTAGTGATGGAACTTTGTCCTAGAAGTAAGTTTTGAATACTTAGTGTAGGACTTCATGGGACCCAGACTTCTGTCGCCCCTTCAGAGTTCACTGCAAGCTCTTTATGCTCATTCATTATTAGAGTATAAAACCCCTGTCAGTCTTCTGAAGTTTCCAGTGAGTACTTCTTGGCTCTTTGGGGTTCTCCAGTCTGTCTGATGTCCCTTGCTTCCCTCTGTCCTGCGCAGGTGTTGGTACAAGCAGGTCTTAAAGCTGTCAGTGGTTACTCCTTACCCACTCATATTTTGTAACATATGGGAATTCCTTCTCACCTACTGTTGAAGACTATACCTACTGTTGAAGACTATACCTACTGTTGAAGACTACTGTTTGGCTTTATTGTGCTATTTTTGGTTTCTTTTTATAGGCTGCTTTGAGGAGATTAACAAATTATGCCACTTCTGCTGTCATCTTCCCAGAATCCCCCCACATTGAATTCTTGACCCCGGTGGCTTTTCTTGCACTGAACAAGCCCACCCCAACTCAGTAATGGCACCGCCATCCACCACAGATGCACATGTGAAATCTGAGAGTCACTGGTGCTGCCCCCTCTTCTCACTGTAATATCTAATCTGTCAAGACCTACTAACTTTCCGGCGTCTATAATGGAGCCATTCTTTCCATGGAAAATGTGTGCTATGCCCTGTGGCTACCCAGCCACACCATTCTCATATTTGGGAATCGTCTTCCATTATGTACCCATTTCCCAGAGTGGAAGCTAGCTACTCCATTTTCCTGGTTCTCATGGTATATAGTCAATGGCAATCCAATGCACCTATTTGAGATTTCATTATGAGAGAGCTATGTGAGAGCCCAAGAATCCATTTTCTGGCAAGGCTAGCCATAGAGGCTTTCAAGCTTTGGGGGGTAAAAGTTGCATGACTGGTAGTATCTAGCAGTCCGGGTAGGTGATGCCCGTAGAGGTGTGTGGGACTACCAGAGCAGCCGTGGGTCTCCATGAAGCAGTTTCCTGGTAAGCGCTGAGCATCTTCCCAGTAGGATAACCTCAAACAGAGACTCTCTGGTCTTGCAGAAATACCTAGCACTCTTTAATAAATTGCTTTTCTATGTAAGCTAGCTGAAGTCGGTTTGCTACTGTGGTGGCAGGAAACACTGATCTTTCTGCAGTTCCTGTTATGCACCAAGCACAGTCGCATGCTCTCCACTGATGATGTGTCTTTGTAATCTGTCCTCTCAATTAACATCTTCCCTCTCTTCAGAAAGCAGGAAGAAGAAAACAGTTCAGGTTTTTTTTTTTTTTTTTTTTTTTTGGTCACCTTAATTGCTGAGTACTGTTTTTCACAGCAATGATTTTCACTCTAAGGATGGGCCAACTAGAAATTACTTTCTCTCTCCTAAAAGAGTTCAGCCCATTTCCCCATATCCAGAGTCCCATATGGCATTTTAAGAAAGCACAAAGAGGCTGAAGCTTCCTATATCTGGCATATATTTGCTTATTTTTTTATGGAACCCATATTTTCTTGGGTTTTCTTTTACCCTCATTAAAACAGCTCCATCATCTCCTTAGCTGTGCTAGATTTTAAGTCCAGGACACAGAGGTAAAGTATAAAGTCATATAGAATGTAAAATACATTTTTAAGGAAACTTGGGGAAATTAGAAACTTTTTAAGATCATGACTGTTTGGCTGGAGAATATAAAATACAGTATTTTTCAGATCTCAGTCAAATCCCAGGAATGATGGAGTTTGACCTAAGGAGAGAAAAAGAACTGAGAATTCTGTTTCTGACATCTGATCAATTTGTTTTGGGAAAATGGTACATGCTTCCTGATGCACTTGACGAAGAGCACTTGCTAGATCACTGCTGAGAACCAGAGCCATCCTGAGGAGGAAAGTTCTCAGGAACTTAGACACTAAGCATTGAGGAATAGTGAATATTGCACTTCGAGGCTCAGCGTGGGACTGGATTATAATAATAGAACCCACGAGCAGTATGCCCTCGTGGGATCAAGTCTCGATCCTGAGAGAGGAATGTGGCATCAAATCTGTCCTGTTCTTGTCATATTTTTAAAATCTCCAGAAAGATGTTTTCCAACCATAGCATTTCCTCTTTTTACAAACAAGTGCCCGTGTTTCCTTTCCTATCTTCAATAGCATTTGAGTCCACATTTTCCACTGCTTAGCCTGATTCAGGTTAGTATTTAAGTACATGTTTTAATGTCACTGTAGGACTTACTAATTTACCAAGTGCCTTTTTTCCCCCTCGGAGAATGTATTATTTTGTATGTGGGAATATAAGTGTGCGGAAAGAGTAGTTGCATTATCTCCCTCTGTTTTGCACATTTTCCCAGACATGTCAGTATTACTTAGCACCACATATGCTTAAAGTTCCTAATATTTATAAATAATTTCAAAAACAATTTGCTTACATTGCTTTAGACATTTTATAAATATTGTATTAATCTGAAATGCTTACCTTCACAGTATATTTAAAACAAATGCTGCAAAAATTGTCCTGTTACT